AAATATGGAGGAAAAGAACTACACAATTAGATACATGGACTTATAACTAAAATTTGGCAAGAAGAGAAAATCCCAACAGAATGGGAAACAGCTTTAATAACCCCAATACACAAGAAAGGCTCCAAACTCCAGTGCACAAACTACAGAGGAATCTCCCTATTAAATGTTACATACAAAATACCGACGAAGCTTATTGCCAAAAGACTACAAACTTACATTGAAGAAATACTAGGTGATTACCAATGTGGATTCAGGCCTAACAGATCAACGACTGATCAGATTTTCACCATCAGATGCCTATTAGAGAAATGCTATGAATATAATATACCAGTACATCAACTCTATGTGGACTATAAAATGGCCTATATGACAGCATCAAAAGAAACTATTTATATGAGACTCTGGGAGAGTTTGGGATACACAACAAACTGACAAGACTAATAAATGTAACACTAAACAACTCAAAAAGCAAAATCAAGATTCAAGGAGAATATTCAAGGGAATTTCCTATTAGACGAGGCCTAAGACAGGGACACTCACTGCCTTGTATGCTCTTTAACCTAACATTAGAGAAAGTTATTAGAAACATACACATTGACACTCGAGGAACTATAACAGGATACTTTCTGAGGGAAACTCAAGACCCACAACCTACGGGCACACTCTACAACCAATAACTTCAGTATCTGGCATATGCTGATGACATAGCACTTCTAGTGAAAAGTATAAAATACATATCAAAATCATTTATTGAATTAGAAGACGCATCTCTACAAGCAGGGCTGGAAGTTAACAACCAAAAAAACAAAATACATGACCATGATAAGAGAGGAACAAACAGATGAAACAATTAAAATTAGAAACCAAACTTTTGAAAAAGTAAATCAATTCAAATACCTAGGATCCTTGTTAAATGAAAGAAACGAATTGCAAACAGAAATAAAAGAAAGAATATCAGCCGGAAACAGGGCATACTTCAGTAGTCAGAAAATACTCAAAAGTAAAAACATTACGAGAGAAACAAAGAAAAGTATTTATAAAACTGTGATCAGACCAGTTGTAACATATGCAAGTAAAACAAAAACAAAAACAGCAGAAAACCTGTTAAACACATGGGCGAGGAAAGTTCTCAGGGAAATATATGGGGCAACAAAGGATTAATATGGATGGATAATACGAACCAACCAGGAACTATACAGTCTAAATCAGGATCCCACAATAATGGCAGAAATAAAAATAGGCAGGCTACGCTGGGCAGGACACCTAGAGAGAATGCAAAATGTCAGAGGAACGAAGATGGTGCATCACCAATACCCCAGAGCAAAAAGGCTCCAAGGCAGACCTAGGCTTAGGTGGATAGATGATGTAGAAAAAGATCTACAGCAACTGAAAGTCCAAGTATGGAAAAGAAAGGCATAGTTAGGTCTGAGTGGAAGGAAGTGATGAGGCAGATCAAAGCTCTACATGGGCTGTAGCGCCACAGGGATGGATGGATGGAAGTATGGAATGTTAACTGTGTGTCTGAAGTACTCTTCAACACTTATGTTTGCCGCATTACTTCGATGCATTTGTCTTCCACACTATCTTGGGATAATCAGTTCAATATCCACCTTCTGTGCGAGTTGTACTGTTTTATCAAAAATATCTCTGAAATAGTTATCGGAATCAACTCGGTGAAGTTTTACTACACTGAGCAGGTTTTGATCTTGCAGTTCCACTTCTGGAAGATCAACTTGAACAGCTTGAAGAGCCTGAATAACTGGTTCCAGTATGGCAGAGTACTGCGAAATAATATGGAGACAAAATACAAACGTGCTGGACTTTGATGACCAATTAAACTGATGTGCAGCCTGTCGTGTATTGCCACTTGCATGCAATGACAATTCTTCCAGTTGGCAATACATATCTTCAAATTTATTAGAAAACATCTGAATACTGTGGAGAGTCGGACCACGACGGCGCCGGGGGCGTCTGACGTAACCGTCTGACCAGGGATTACGGCCGTCTGACCAGGTACAGCCGGCGCCATCTGACCTGGGATCACGACCGAAGGATCAAGCGCTGGGGGCGGTACCAGCCATCCATCTGACCAGGGCATTTCCCTGGTCTGTTTGTAATCTGGCGCCGATTGGGAAAAGGGGGCGGGGTATAATGCGCCAGTCCAGACCTGGGAGAGGAACTATGGGACAGGGAGGTATAAATAGGGATCTCTGGACGGGACGAAGGGAGAAGGCGGCCGGAATGAGAACTAGATAGCAGGGAGAAGTCAGAGCTGTGAATTGAGAGAAAGAGTAAGCAAGGTGACAGCCCAAATAAAGAACACGAGTTTAATCATCAAATGTATCACCGGAGTTGTTTCCTTATTGAGTACCAGATCTAGATAAAGTTTGTCAGAGAGTAAGCAAGGTTTCCTTACAATACTTATATACTTGCTTGTCCATCTTGTCTCACACAGAAAAAGAATATTTGGGACAGAGGACCTCCTTTTTGGGCTTTCACAAAAAAATGTAATAATTGCTTTGATAGTACCAATAGTTTTTCGTATCACTGCAACATTATTAACATCATTTACTACGAGATTCAGTCTATGGGAGGCACAGTGAACAAAGGCAGCCTTGGGGTAAATACTTCGAATTTTTTGCCTGAACACAATTTTCTTTTCCGGCCATTGTCGAGCACCCATCATAACCTTGACCCAGCATATTATTAAGGAGAAGACCAAATGTTTGCAATGTTGAATAATACAATCAGATATCTTGGCGGCGTCCATATCTTTCAGCGGAGAAAATCCAAGGAATTCCTCACGAATCATAGCCTTCTCACTAGTCGTATCTACAAACCGGACTCGCAGTGACAACTTTTCTGTTCCTGAGATATTTGCTGTTTCATCGGCTATGATCGAGAATCCAACAGCATTGTTGGCAGGTTTTACAATGTCTTCTCGCAGAGCTTGCTCAGACAAGTTGGTCAAATTATTCTGCATTCGGTGTGATGTGTAACGTGCATTTTCAGCAGCTGTATCAAAATGTTTTTTTTTTTTTTAAATACCGTCTCCTACCTCAATTCGATAAGCATAAAGTTGTTCGACATTTCCTTTGGTGCTATCTTTTCCCACGAATTACCAAATGATTTGTTCCGCCAAATAATATTGTTGAAATAATAGAATGCAGTTACTTTCTGTTTTCTTCAATAGTTCGTTTTACTGAATTATCTATCTGACAAATAATATCCTTATTGGGATCTCTAATGGTTGACGCGAAGTGTTCAGCATCTTGTTGAGACCCACGATGCCATGCTGAGCTGATATGGTTTTTGGCACATTCATTAAAATCTTTGTACTTTGTACAAGGAGTAGTAAAGTCTCAATCAAGACATTGTACAGTCCTTTGTTATTGAATATTCATCTTAATTTACTTAAAGTAAATAAGCACACTTAGATCTAGCAACAGTAGTCAAGGTATTTAAAATTATTACAACTCATTTCACATGTAGCTAAAACAACTAAATTTATAACGAAATTAATTTAGATTTTTCTAATACTTTCTTTACTGCTATCACAAATTGACTTAAAATAAAAGTAACATTATTTGACTATTTTCCAATGTAAACATCAACATTTTGACAAGTTTACACTGTACCTGAAAAACGGTAGACTGCTCTTAAACAATGAACTAACTTACTTTAACATATTCGCCTTAAAAAATATACATAATAAAAATACTTATGTTCAAAACAACTTTGGCTCACAACATACAGTGATACGTAAAATAATTAATAAAGAAAATATACATATAATTACCCAGTAAAACGATATTAGCATCAGCTTAGTTACTTTCTCTTTATTTTCTCTTTACTTTAATAAATTTTTTGTCTATTTTTGTCTAATTTTTTTTTTAATCAATCAATCCAGGTGGGGGGGGGCAAGTGCCCCCTCCCCCCTTGCCACCCCCTGCGGGCGCCCATGCATCAGATCAACCTTGATGATATGTATAAAAGATGGATATCGTTGAAAGACTGACGCCAGAGAACCTCCAGAAATGAGTCAATCAAATGACTAGCAGCCATTGGTAGTATGTGTGTACTGTTAGAAGTTAGTTCCTTGAAACAACGACGGGATAAATAATAGAAATAAATAAAGCTTTGATTAAACTATTGTGATATTTCTGATTTAAATTATTTAATAATAGTTACTTTATTTATATGTATAAAAGTTTCTGAACTTAACTAGTGTGTATGAGTATGTTTGTGGGCAGTAAAATTTTGCACACAAAAAATTGATGCTGTAAAACTTTGCACTCAACTGTATTGTTTGCTCACGAATGATGAATATTATATTATTTCGAGCGTAAACATAGATGACCGTTTATTGGTAAGGAAGCACCAAAAGTTAACTATTTGTCTTACTTCCTGGTTCCGAATGTTGTACCTCACTGTTTTACCAGTTACTAACTACTAGCCTTATTTATTATTATTATTGTTATACCCCCCCCCCCCCGCGCTTTTTTCTCAGAGCCCAGATCTTGCACTGATATGTATTGGTTGAAATAAAGACAGTGTTAATTTTTTCATTTTAGTTTTTCTTCAATATAGTAGTACTTCGAATAAAAAGAAACTTAAAATAAAGCATAAAAATTAAAATACAGTAATAGTAATATAATAAAAATGTGGTAATATACGGTAAGGTGTGGTGTATTTATAAAGTAGGACTTCTGCGCATGTTTAAAGTCAGTTAACGTTTCCGGATGTCTTCTTGCTTATTGTCAGCCATTTCTATTATCAATTTAGAATATATTTGTTTAACTGACAGGTACATACAATTCTCATCTAAAAATATTTTAATATTTTGCATATTCATTAACTTATTTATATTAGTTAGATTTCAAGAAAAATTGAATGTTAAAACTATATCTTTGGTACTTATTTATTAATTCGCTTCCGGCTATCCGGGCCCTTTTTATGTCAATTTCCGCTGCGGTGCTGATCAACTTCGGTGACTTTCACTTTACATGTTAACACCCATATCCACATTTCCCCCCCTTTTTGTTGTTGAATCCATGTTCTCCCTCATTGGCATATCCATGCGTTATAAAATAAAGTATTGATCATATAAATGATTTGGTAAAAGAAACAATTCGTTACATTTAAAAAACTTAATGGTAAGAAATAGTAGACCTACCAAATATTAATATTAATAATACTAGTAGTAAGTAGTGACAATATATTATATAGTATAGGCTATTATAGTAGGTAGACTAAGTATAGACTATTTACTCCACACTTGACCACTTCTAGGAAAGGCAAAGTCTTCTTAGTTATTAATAGGCTTGTAATTTAAACAGGAAAATGGCCCATGGCCAAAACTCTAAATCAAGTAAAATTCTAATTTGTAAATTATTTTAACTTTTAGTTTTAGTTTAGCTACACCTACTCTCATGTAGTATTTTAGTGTAGTAGTTGGTTGTAATTTATTTATAGTAGTATCAGTATAAATAAGCATAGGTTTTAATTAATTAAAATCAGCAATGATTGGGCCTTCTCATAATTCATTTAAATTTAACATTTCACAATAAACTAATGGCATGGGAGACCTGTTTAATCTTACAATGTATGATTTTGAGATGTCTTACTCTTAGTTTTACTTTTAGGATTGTATGCCAAGACCTGTCAGGACAACAATTTAAGACACTGGGTTAAATATATATATATATATTCTGTTAGTTTTTCAAACTAAAAATTAAAAAAAACATTCAAAATAACTTTTTCAGTTGTTAGTTTTAACTTGCTTTTGCATTCAACATCTAGCAGTGAATCATAGTGAATAGATTAAGAAATATAATTGGTTGGAGACCATTATTTATTATTTATAGTATTTATACTTAATCCTTATATTTCATTTGAACTGAAGGGGAATGGAGTGGAGATTTTGTGTCAGGGGAGTATCTAAACATTTATGACTATAAAATTTACACGGCCAAATTTTCGTAATGATAATGTGATGGTCCTATTGTTGTCATAATAAACTCATGGGACACAGCAACCATAATATTTCTGTAGCCGCCCTAAGCCTAATGACAATTTAAGTAATCAGGGTCATTCTCATAGTACATATGCACTGACTGGTGGTGTGTTTAGATTTGTGGGTGGGAGAGGGGGAGGTCTTCGTAGACAGTACATACGTTATTAAAAAACTCTGCAATAATCATCCTGAACTCTGAAAGTCAAAAATAGCTTATTCATATATTGAACGTTGTAAATTTATCTTGCAATTTTTTTGTAGCAATTATTGTCATAATGTTGCCATGCATTTTCACAAATGAACTTGCTAGAAATATAGATGTACTCAGATAATACTAAGTAGTAGAGGTATTACAGTAATATTTATTTCACCATATGTCCAATGTGTTTGGGATGTTAAGTTTATTGGGCTATGCCAGATGCTTTTTGTTTCTTGGTGCCTATGCTGAATTTAGGTTTTCACCAGGCTCCCTGTGTTAAATTATTACTAGTATACACTTGGAAATAATGGATACATTAACAAAAACAAAAATAAAGGATTGGGTAAAAATAGATTTGTCATGTAGGTCACTAAGTGGGATCCAGTAAATGTAAACATTAGCTACTCAAGTGAGTTACTGTTTGTACTATGACGCTATATGTCACATTGAAACGTTGGATTAAAAGTGGAAATAAAATTCTGAGCGAGCAAGCCGCAACAACCCATATTGAAAAAGAAGGGGTGGGGGATAGGAATTTTTGCGGGCGTACCATATTAATGGCCCCTTGCGTTTGTTTGCTTCCAGGACCAATGCCCATGCTCATACATCATCAGATAATATAATAGGTATACGCTTACACTTACATTATGTTTATAATGTTATTAATTTATATCATTCATTTTGTGTAAGATATATAGTTCTCTGTGATACTAATTACATACATTATATATTCATACATTTGTTTGTTTAAGGGTGGTGTTGGGTGCAATGTAGGTAGTTCTCCCTGGCGGCACTTATTCTGTAAAAAAATTTTAATAGCTCTTCTATATTTTCCATATCAGTATTATAAAACTTTTGGAGGATTGAAATTATGAGCGATATGGAACTTCCAATGAAAGTATATTTATATCATTTATATTTATTCTTTTAATGATAATGAAAGTGATGCATATAAGCCTACCTAATAACTATAATTATTGGTATTTTATAGTTTATTGGGAAGAAAGAACTTAGTAAGCATTCTTATTCTGTGACAGTAATCTAAAACTTACCTCAATATGTGTGTCATACCTACTTTATACCTGTATTTAAATTCTTCATGTGCCATTCATTACTTTTTTCTATTATCATAAAAATCAAAGCTTTCTGACTGTTAGCTTTGAAGTTATTGTTCATTTTCTGACTGAAATATTAATAAAATTTCCCATACATTTGAATACCCAGTATACTTATAATTAATTCTTAATCATTATGCTAATGTAGACAAAACCTCAATAGAAGTAGTTAAAAACTTTATTGGGAAAGAAGTTTCAGATCTTAAATAATCTATCATGATCAGATCAGCGTTTCCCAAACCTTTAATTCAAGCCACCACTCTTTGGTTGTTTATTATTTTCATCCTTTTTTCTCTGAGATGGGTGTGACACTAGATCAACCAGTTCTCAATGAGATTTGTGTGACACTAGATCAACCAGCTCTCAATGAGATTTGTGTGACACTAGATCAACCGGTTCTCTATATTTTTAATTTATGTGTGTTTTTTTCTTATGCTTGGGTGACCACTAGTAGTAAAAGTTAGAACCACCTTTTTTCAACTTAGATATTAGGAATGTAATCAGAAATATACTCATCCTAGCAGAAAAACAATCACAATTTTATCATTCTCTTTAGTTTCGCTTTGTTTTTTTCTGCTGATGAAGGCTTCTAGCTGAAATGATAGTTTGGTTGTCTTGTTTTTTCATTTGAAATATTGTCATTTTACGCTCTACTATTTTCTACACACCACTTGAACGCAATCCCTTCAATCGTAGTTTTTGAAAATATGTTTTTATATTTGGTGGCTAGTGAGCTTTGTGGTGTTGAAGGTGGAATGGTTTTATTGGATTTGTGATTTTATTTTATATAAGATACTCTTTTTCATATATCATTTACGTTTGAAAAAAAGTATCATGTGGAATGAACATACAAATTTTCTGGAGTAAGGCCACATCCCCCTTGTATCATGGGTGGGGGTTTTGTGGGCTTACTATGTAATGTGGAATGTAATTCCCAATATTGTAAACCATACTAGTCCAGCACTAACTGTACTAAGAGGTAATAAAAGCATGTTCACACGGGTTCTTTCTGATAAATGAGCTTAAAGAATTACCTTGCCTACCTGAAAGCATGACATGTTATTGTACTAAAAGTAGTAGAAGGCCAGCCATATATCTATAGCATATGTATAGAGGGCGAAATTGGTTTCAAGACAAGACGATTTGGCATTAGGGGTGGTAGTTTACATCCCGAACATTTTTATAAAAAACCTAACAAATGTAACTTAACGAATCGACCCATTAGAGAGCTGGTATCACCAGATTAGGTAATATATGTCATGATTATTGAAGTCTTTTTATTGAAAATAAATAATACGCAGGTCTGAATGACTTTGGTATTGACAGCTTCCCACCCAAATGCTTAGAGGGTCACACATTTAGGAGTATTTTCTGCCTGCGCTAATCTGCATTTTAATTACTTTTTTTCAGATCCCTTCTTCAAAGTTATAATTAAAGAAACCAAGTATGGATAATTTATTCGGAGGACGACAATGAATCTAGAGGTTGCTACGTAATTTTTACAATGGTGGACTTGTGAATGTTATTCTTCAAATAACTCTACAGGAAAAAAATGGAAGACGGCTGCCTTGCTACTGGGGAAGAGTTGATTCGAAAAATAAAAGAAAAGTATCATAGGACTAAATTAAAACATGATAAAATTAAAAGGAAGTATGATGCCATTCAGTTGGCATATGATGATGTCAAAAAAGAACTCGACATTGTCAAAGAAGAACTTCAAAAACACGTGCAAGGCTTCAACAAATCTGCTAAAAGAATTCTGGCTATCAAAATAGAATGCCAAGATGATGAGCCTTGTGCGAATGTCATCAAAGTGGATGAAAAATCATTAAAGCATGAAAATGATGGTCCATACTCATCTGATGATTTCATCATAACCGTAAACGAGAATCATCTTGTTGAAGACTGTGAAGAAAATGAACAAGTGTTTAAGCAAGACCTTCATGTTACACCTAGAAAAACATGGACTTCCAAGGTTGATAAGTCAGGATCTGATTCATCCAAAAACTCATTCCACAATAATGACGGCAGCATAATTCATAATGTTGATTTAACACCAATTCAGTGTTATTATAATGATGGCAAAAAAGGAATAAAAAGTATTAAGAATAATTTTTTGTCTGCAGAACATTGGACCAAAGGCATTTTTCAACCCCAGACTGCAGATTTTCATCCAACAGGCGCCTTGAACGATGTGAATTTTGAGTTAGCGGCAGTTAAGAATGAACCAGTCAGCAATGAATGTTACACTGCTAAAAGTCTCATTGGTACTAAATCATTCAAGAATAAAACTCCTAATTCAGTGACATCAAAACAGAAACAACCACGTATTAGGAGGTGTGATAAATCTTACAGATGTGAAATATGTGGCAACATATATGCAGGGACCTACAACTACAACAGACATAAATTGATCCATACCGGAGAGAAACCCTTTAAATGCTATCTTTGTGATAAGAGTTTTGCCAGGAAAGATAAATTCACTCTTCATTTGAGGAAGCATGAAGAAAGAGGGATGTATAATATTGAATATTCTGTTGATGGGAGTGGCACGGATCAAAATTTGGAAGGCACTCACGGTGGAATAAAGTTAGAGGCTGATGAATCTGGATTTAGTTTATACCGAGATGTTGATGGCATAGAGGCCTACAACCTTCTTAAACAGGCAGGATTAGACCCCAATGATATGAGAAATGGGCAGACAAAGCCAGGTGTTAAGAATGGAAAGAGAAAAGATAACACTAAGATTGAATGCAATATTTGTAGCAAAATAATACGAGGTGCTGAGAATATGGCCAAGCATCAGCGCAAACATGCCGCCAAGAAACCAAAAGAGTGTAACGTATGTGGGAAGGTTTTCTTAAAGACTTATAGTTTTAACAGACATAAAAAAGTGCATTCTGGTGAAAAGCCCTTTATTTGCAGCCTTTGTGGTCAAGGTTTTTCAAGAAATGATAAACTTCTTGCGCACATAAGAAAGCATAAATGGAGGCCTCCTGGAGAAGAGTGCCACAAATGTGATATATGTGGATTATTCTTTGCGCAGCTTTCCCATGTCACTCAGCACAAGCAGGTCCATGCTAAGGATATGCGGTTATTTTGTGATATTTGTGGACAGAGCTTTTACCTGCAGGCTCACCTGGACGCTCACAAGGAAACAGAACATATCTTTAAAAAAAAAAGGCATTTCAAAGCTAGAGCTCCCCACAGTAAGTCATCGTTCAAGCGCAGGATGGGGCCTAGTTTCAAAAAACTATTTAAATGTATCGAATGTGGGAAAGCCTTTTCCCTAAGATATCAGCTGACTCGGCACAAAAGAATTCACACCAATCACAAACCACATAAATGTCGTCAGTGTGGCAAAGAGTTTATAGAGAAGTTGGTGCTAATAAAACATAAAAGAATGCACTCAAAAGAATGCCTTTAAAACAATGATGATTTTTGTATAAAATGTGACATGGGTTGGCGAATTGTGACATGTGTTGGCAAATTGTTGAAGGATGGCAGTCAACTAACTGGAGTGTAAAGCATAACATCTTCCATTTGTGTTTGAAATTTAAGAAAAAAGTGCTTTTTAAACAATCATGTTTTTGTATTGAACTTTTACATATTCAGTGAAAAGCTCTCTTAAACTTAACCCAGTAAACTTTTTGAGTAAATGAAGTACAGCTCTTTGAGTGTATGGCATGATTTTACCATTTGATAAATTTGTTTTCAAAGTGATCCTTTAAATTATGCAACACTGCCCTGTGCTTGCATTTTGAAGCTCATCTTGTGGAAGAATTGCTATAGGTGCCATCCTTATCATTTGTATGCAAAAAATTAAATTTTTCGCCCCTCCTACCCAGTTGCATGTGTATTTTTTTTTGTTGGAAACCCCAAAGTGTACATACAAAGAGCTTTTGAAACCCCCCCTCCCCCCCCGCCACCCCAAACAACACAACCAACAAAATAATTTAAAGATATGAGGTCAGAGAATTAAAAAAAAATTTCTCACTGGTTTTCCACAGCTGCCTGTTTGGCCAGCCCAGTGTTTCCAAGAACATACACACTCTGGGTGCCATGTTGCCCTCAGATGGGCCATGAGAATGGGGTCAAGTGGCCCAACAAAATACTTACCAAACATACTGTACGGGTAGTACTACTACCGGTACTGTGCACTATTTGAGTGATATCTAGCATGTTCATTATTGAAAACACAAGGCAATAATGTGACGATAATTCCTATAAAACATTGTGTGATATTTTTACAGCATTAGAGATATGAATATGGTATTTATGGACTGTCAGATTTTCTGCCTCATTATTATAGAATTTTGTATTAATGTTCGTACATTAGTCAGAGACACACATATGCAAAATTTCCAAAATCGACATACCCCTCCCCTCTCAGTGCATTCATACTAAAAGAATGACCCCATGCCTGTTACATAAGGAGTGTTTGTGGTTTATCTCAATGAACAATTCCTATAGCTGTTTTATAAGGCTGTTTGCCTAAATTCTCATCAATGTAAAACAAAAATTATGAAGGTAATGTGATAAATATTAAGTCTACAAATAATTTTTAAGTCCCTGCATCATTCACTACAAGTAAATATGTTGAGCTCCACAGTCCTACACTAAATTTGTTTAACTAAACTGTTTCATTGGATAAAGGTTTGATCATTTTTTTTTTATTCCAGAAATAATTTTTATGGTTCATTTACTCTAAAAGAAAAAATAAACAGCAAGCAATAAATTGTAGTTGAATTCTGTTGTCCATGATAAACTTAAATAAATATAATTTTGATCAGTTTATAATCATATAACTTGTTGAACTTTATTACAGGATTTAAAAAATTCATGAATAATTGAAATACATTTGTGGATAAAATTTTTATTACGGTATTTCAAAATAGAATAATTGAATTAAATATTAGCACTGGGTCTTTCAACCAAGAAAAATAATAAAAAATCACGATATAGTTTTTTAAATATGTTATTGAAATAATGCATGGAGTAGGTGCAGCAACATCTTAAACTTATTTCTACCTATTCAACACCCACCCCTCACCCATTGAGGACCAAAATTGCCCAAACATTCATAGTCATTTATGCCATTTGACTACTACGTACCCCACTACCTTCCAAACTACCTACACATTGTTTTACATTATGTAGTAAGAGAATTTAATATTTAGTTACATTACAATAATTACATTAAAGATTTTTGATTTATATGGAAATGCCTGTTATTTTTAAATATGATTCAGTTTCTCTCTTTGTATAATACGGTACCTATATATTTATATAGATTAATCAATGAGTTTTAACCTTAAAATAAATTATCGGTCTTAAGCTCAATTTTCTTCAAGCCATGGAAACACATTATAGTTATAGACTGAACACATTTGTAATATATTCTCCTCTGCTATTTCTCTGCAAAAGAAGGGAAAATTGAGAAAACATAATTGATATTTTTTGGTACCACTTACCAGTACCATACTTCAAATAAAATGCAATAAATGTTTTTTTAATTTATTAAATAAAAGATTATCACATCAATAAAATAGAAAAGACATCAGAATTATATCAGTTTTGTAATGTACACATCATGTTTCGAATTCAGTGTGTACACAGATACTACCCTGTCACTCACCATTACATGTACTCAAGATTATAAATTAAACATTATTTTGTCCATTTTGGTTGGGGATAGATTTACTTTTCTTGAATTTAAATACAAATACTATTTACTTATCAAATTTTATAACATTGACTGCTGAATGAAAGCATTTGTGTATTTTAATTTATTTCATTGGCTTATTCAACTTTAATTATCCACCATGGATCTAATATTTAGTTGTTTTTTTTCCTTCTAATATATTGTATTTATTGTTTTTTTGCTGATCAGATCTACATTATTATCATAAGAGTTTATGTTTGTTTTTTCACCAACTTAATTTTATCTATATCGATTTTAAAAAATAAATATATTTGTTAAGCATAATGATGATAATTTATGGTTTAATAATAATTATTAAAAATATATTTAATTGCATATGGGACTGATTAATCAGCTAACTGGCCTACATGGGACTGATTAACCAGCTAACTGGCCTTTATGGGACTGATTAATCAGCTGACTGACCTACTGAAAATGCTGTCAAGATATTAAATACCGGTACTAATATAAATAATTAAAAAAATTAGCAGAATTTTAATGGGATTTCACCAAATTTCTCACAAATTAAGTCTGTTTCAGATTCTAAACTCTAAGCATGTTATCAGGTTTGTAAACAATGATATGGCAGACACCAAATATTAAGTTGTCTTTTTTCTGTCGAAGTAACCAACTTCTCTGTTTTTGTTGCATTCCCAAACTGGTATGCAAAAAATAAGTTACAAAAGTTGTATAATTGTATTTTTAATTTTGAATGAATCTGATTGGACAAATATAGAGCAAATGAGGCACCCTGTGTTAAATTCTAACAGGTACACTGTTTACAGAAACCTCTTTAAATGGTTACCACGGTAATGGGACTAGATTGCAGTCTTCAATAATTAATTAATTATTATTTATTTTATTAGTTTGTGAAACATGCTTGGTACCAAACTTTGTGTTTATATTTTAACTTCTTTTGTTTAAGTCAGGTTAGGTTAGGGAGGATAAGTCAATATCCACTTCTCAGTGACAGCATTCAAAGACTTAGCACATTATTATTCTTACAAACTGGGTTACCTGCATCTAAGAGGATCAATTTAGTGAATGAAATAACATTGTTAGGCCAGTTTGATTCTTAGTATTGATCAAATGTGCATATTAATCAACAGGCTTAGCCATCCTACTCAATCAACATGCTTATTTAGGTTAACTTAAATTAAAGTTATTTTATGTTACTTTAATATGAGCTTTATTTATGTTAACTGAAATACCAACTTTATTTATGTTAACTTAACCCTATTATTGAAAATAATTAACTATTGGTAATGCACTTATTAGAATTTGACATTCGATGCTTTGGTAGGCTTGACTTTGGCAAGGGTACAACAAATAAAACAAGTTTGGGAACCTCTAGATTAGATAATAGATAACCACTAAAACGAAAAGAAACTATTAACATGAGTGAGAAGAAAACATAAATAATTTGTTAACATGGTTGAGCAGAAAACATAAATAATTTGTTGACATGAGTGAGCAGTGAGGGCGACCCTGGGAGGAGTGAGGGCGACCCTGGGAGCAGTGAGGGCGACCCTGGGAGCAGTGAGGGTGACCCTGGGAGCAGTGAGGGCTACCCTGGGAGCAGTGAGGGTGACCCTTTTAACTACCTGGTCAAAGAAAACACGGATATAAAAAAAGTAATGAAAACTTTAGTTTTAATCTATCTTGAGCTCAGTTATAATTTCATCCCATCAATTTTTTCTATTGAAATCTTTTCTATTTGGTACCATTAGTAACTTTAGCAGGCTAACAAATAGCTGAAAGGGAAGTAACTAGAATTATCTCATCTTCCCAAATATTTTTATATTATATTTGCACTTTTTACAGTTAACTTTTTTTAATGAGCAGTTTTTTGTGTTCCAGATAAATATTTAAACATTTTGATGACTATTATTATCATTGGTATATACAGTGCTTTTGATTACATTAAGTTCACTTTCTACTTTTCAGTCACAGTTAATTGTCTGTATTAAAACGAGAACCTGACATCTAAATCATGCACAAAAATAATTACCCTGTGAAAAACTAAAAAGTTCACTAGAAATATTTTTGTATTTATTTTCTACATACTAAACCAGGTGAGCATGTTCCACAATCCTGAGAATGTTTTTCATATAATTTATTTAAGATTTGTTACGTTCACAGGTCTGTTTTTTTAAATTCTATGTTTTGTTTCACTTTCTATGAATTTTCATTACCTTTATCTGAAGGACTCTGGGTTTTTATTTTTTTAACTTTTGCTTAATCACACATAAAGAAATGAGTTTGAAACCATATTTATATTGAAGAATTATATATTTGTACATGCTCGATTGTTCTGTTGCGTAATGGAATGCAGCGTTTATGAATTTAGATCACTTGAAAATATTCACTTTAAATAAAATTTAAAACTCTAAATAAATTTAATATAGGGTTCGTCTCTTCACTTTCTTTTGGTTTGTGTGTTAGGGTTAGGGTTCGTCTCTTCACTTTGTTTTGGTTTGTGTGTTAGGGTTAGGGTTCGTCTCTTCACTTTGTTTTGGTTTGTGTGTTAGGGTTAGGGTTCGTCTCTTCACTTTTTTTGGTTTGTGTGTTAGGGTTAGGGTTCGTCTCTTCACTTTGTTTTGGATTGTGTGTTAGGGTTAGTGTTCGTCTCTTCACTTTGTTTTGGTTTGTGTGTTAGGGTTAGGGTTCGTCTCTTCACTTTGTTTTGGTTTGTGTGTTAGGGTTAGGGTTCGTCTCTTCGCTGTTTTTTGGTTTGTCTGTTTGGGTTAGGGTTTCTCTCTTCACTTTTTTTTTGGTTTGCATGTTTTAGGGTTAGGGATCGTCTCTTCGCTTTGTTTTGGATTGCGTGTTAAAGATCATGTCAACCCTTTCCCCGGTAACCTATTGTATACCCTGACCTAAGTGCCTGGGTGTAGCACACAGGCAACATATTGTCTACCCTGTCATTAGTGACTTGGTGTAGCACACCGGCAACATATTGTATACTCTGTCTTTAGTGACCTGGTGTAGCACACCGGCAAGATATTGTATTACCTTTCCTTAGTGACTTGGTGTAGCACACCCGTACACTTATAATGACAAAAAATGTTTCTGCCAATTCCTGACAACTTGGTGGGTTACACCCATAGTCTTATTTCACAGTAGATGGCTTTCTTTTGGTTATTTTACAATGTGGCATAATTTAGTTGCCTTGAAACCCAACTCCCTTGACAGTACGGATCGTGTAGTTTCTACCAAAGACGCATTACTTCACAGATCACGTGGTTTCTATCAATGACGCATTGCTTTACAGATCACGTAGTTTCTACCAATGACGCATTGCTTCACAGATCACGAAGTTTCTACCAATAATAATAATAAAGTTCATTTCAAAAACACGCTTCATCCCCAAAGGCTCGAAGCGCTGTACAAAGTCAACAAAAAACAAATGTATAATTTACCACATTTAAAACAAACGCAACACTACAAAAAACTAACTACAAGCATACAATGTCAAAGTCTTTCAACCGTGAGCAACACAGCTAATATGCATTACATGGAAAATATGGTAGACAATTATCCCAGAAGGTGCTTGCGAAATAAATGTGTCTTTAAATCGGTTTTAAAGGACTCCAGTGTCTGGATATTTCTGAGATCGAGTGGAAGGGCGTTCCAAATTGTTGGACCAGCAAATGCGAAAGTGCGCTTTCCGCAAGTCTCAAGGCGAACACGTGGTGTCAAGAGTTTGCCACTGTCAGATGATGCAATTACGCATTACTTCACATGTCACGTGGTTTCTCCCACTAACGCATTTGTCCTGTAAATTATTATAAATTAATGGAAAAAAGGTACAAGCAATACATGACTGCACGAACAGGGAAGGACAGAAAGTACAAGGAGACCAATGGCGAATGGCTTATACTTATACGATCTAAATGAAAGCTTTTATTGGCTGTCAACTCCACACTGGCACTCTTCACCAGACCAGCATTTCAGTGTAATTTTTATTCAGCCCAATTGATGGCAATCCTTTTTTAAGGGCAGCATTTTCAATGAAGAGATTCACC